ATGAATTTGCCCCGCATCGGTGCTAACGGTTTCTTGGCAATCATCTCCCAAGATACAACGACCACGTCTAGCCATAGGAGCACTCCAAATGACTTAGACCCACGAACTCGAACGGAGTTCCCTCTCTACCATAACCATGATTTTGATGCAAGAAAAATCACTTCTACAAAGTGTTTTATGCAAAACTAAAGTAACCATGGAATGAAACTATCAAATAAATTATTTGTTGTGTAGTTGTAGTGTATCCAAACACATAGGGAATCCATATATATATAGTAGTTGGAACATCCATACCAAGAGACACATCTCTTGAATAATCATAATTATTGGAAGTTATTCATACCAAAAGTCATACTCTCCAAGAGTCATGATCCATATGAAAAGACACATCTTTTCATCTACATTCTCTAGAATATTCCATAATATTCTACACAATTTCAATAATTTCAAGTATTAAGTGGTTTAATTTTGGTTTAATTTCTCATTCACCAAATAAGGAATTTCCACTTAAATCATTTCAATGGGTCCCAACCAATTTCCAATCCAAAAATTCCAACACTTTTTACTAACAGCACTGTTGTCTATTCAATTAGTTTGAGTAATTCAGAAAGTCTCGATGCAAATTCATCAACAGTTTTTTGTATCGCAAGACAAGGGACTTCATTGGGCTTGCGGACCTGGCCAAGCTAATTGCAGAGCTATTCAGCAAGGGCAGCCTTGCTATTTACCCGATACTTGGCAAAACCATGCTTCTTATGCTTGCAATGATTACTATCAAAAATTGCCCAGATTTTTCTTCTTTTTACACATGTTCCTAGTGATTTTTCTCTATGGTCATAATGATAGGAATCAAGATATTCAAAATGTTAATGCATATCCAGTGACCATTTTCTACTCATCTCGTTTTCATGGTCTTGCACTAATCAGTAATCACAGATTTGAGGTTTGCAGATTTGAGGTGGGCTTGGGTATGTGTGGGGTGAATGAAGAAGAAGAACGTGGAAAAGAGTTTTTAATTTTAATTATTTGACTATAGTTATTTTAGTATAAAAAATGTAAAGTTACCATTTTAACTTTTTAAAATTTGTCAAAATTATTGTCAAGGTCAATTATTTGGTCAACTAACGGAAACCATTCATTTGGACTTCAACTGCGATAATTTGAAAGGTTTGATACCTTGGATGACACAAATAAAATGTTTGGACAAAGTCTGCTATTAAATGAAATGTTTGATATCACTGCTGCAATTATCCCTAAATAATATATGAAATTCTGAAAATTTATACTCATTTAGGAATCTGCTTAATTGGCAAGCTTACAGTTGGAAGAGTAAACAAGAAACCACACCAACCTTCCACCCACCGCCCGCGGACCCTATTTGGTACTTTATTACCTAAGATTTGAAAAAGAAAGGTATTTTCAAGCTTTTAAGCTGTAACTTGAGAATCGCTTACCCCACAAGTCAACGAAAACCCCACACAAACAGTGGCACGGTTACAAGCCCAATGGCGTATTCATAGCTTTACAGAACAAACTGATCTTTACTTCCTTGCAAAGTATAGAAAGATAAATTATTTTCCAACCATAGAATTAAACAGGTTTGTGGGTTCTGTTTGTTTCCGAGTTCTTGAAAATGGGTTCATCAGATCGGTTGTTTTCCAGGCAGAGAACTGTTCATCAAATCCTTGGAGGAGGACTTGGTAAGTCACATCTGAAATGCTCATTTCTCAATCTAGTTTTTTCACTTCATCAATGTAATCTGTGTATTTACTGAATCATAATTCTTATATACCTGGTTGGTCATTCATTTCTTCGAAATAAAAATTTAAGTTTTTTCGACCCAGCTCAACGCAAAATTCTTCGTAAATTGGCGGCGGTCAGGATGCGTTGGATTTTAATATCGCGTTGAAGTTATTTAATATGCACGAGAAGTAAAGAATCATTCTTTATTTTCAATGGTCTAATGACCTGTAAAATAAGAACCTTAATTATTTAGGAAAAATTGGTAATGCCAGTAACATTAGTAATAATAAATTTAATTTCTGAGGCTGTTGAATTGAAACAGCTGCAGATGTGATTCTATGGAGGCAAAAAAATCTGACAGCAGGAATTTTAGTGGTGACTTTGGCTGCTTGGGTGGTCTTTGAGATATCTGGTTATACACTGCTTTCATTATCCTCAAGTGTGTTCTTACTTCTCTTCACCATTCTTTTTCTTTGGGCAAAATCAGCAGCAATTTTAAACAGGTTACGTATCGTTTCCGGATTCTATTTTCCTATATGAACATGTTTTGATGTTGATTGATAATATATATAGATTGTGTGCACACTTTTCTCCTCTACCGCGAACTTTGAAGACTTGTGTTTAGAGATATATTGAGTATTATATGCTTGTACTACGTAAGAGAATTTTTTAGAGGGCCATTTTCTTTGTGAGAGACAGACACTCGATCCCAATGTGATCTTCTTACTCATACTGGAAACCTGCAGCGACGAATGTATTTTTTTATTTTATTTTTTCTAAGTTCTAGCTACAATTCCAGGCCTAAGCACATTCGAACTGGAATAAACTGGACAAGGACAATTTGGCAAAGATCAAAAGCTCCTCGAATAAAGGACAGAATTTAGACAAATACAGATCAAACTAAAAATCTTAAGCATAACAAAGTTCTAACTAGTAGAGAGGTGATACGTTTTTTAATATCTAGTTTTCGACAAACTGTTGTTCTGCTTGTTTGATTATTCAGTAAATGACTTGAAGCAGACCTTCTCCACCTATACCACATTTGCATATCTCAGAAGAAGTCATAAATGAAGCAGCAACGCTCATTCGCTATCACATAAATGCCTTGCTATCCATTTTTGAGGATATTGCACTTGGTCGGGACTCGGAAATGTTCATAAAAGTGGCTCTAAGTCTTTTGCTGATATCTGTAATTGGGGGTGTCACTGATTTCCTCACATTGGGCTACACCAGTAAGTTTCATGGTCTCGTGATTTCAATTTAAGATATCAAAGCCCTCTATATATTGTTTTATATGCAATATTAGATCACATTGGACGGTACAAGTTTTTATACATGTAACGTTTCTTAAATTTCTCGCTTTCTAGGCAAATATGCAATTCCCTTTTCATTAGCCATTTTCTTCCTTGTATTGTGGCAGGCCTGTTTATTGTTCTTACAGTTCCGGCACTTTATGAAAGATATGAAGACTGTATTGACACATATGCTCTAAAGAGCTACAGAAAACTGCAACTGTTGTACATAAGATTTGATGCGGTGTGTATCAGCAAGGTTCGGAAATGGATTTTGGAGGCAAAGAAGTTTAGATGATGATACATTTTCTTTGTTTCCATATTCTTCTCTTTTTGGCTCACACATTTTCTCCTGTTTGTCGATTTTGTAAACACAATATCTTCATTTTATGTTAGCCCCATAGAAGGTGAAAACAAGAAACAGTATTGCTCTCGACTACATAAACTATCAATTAGTTTCTATTTTTCATAACCAAGAACAAAACAATCTAAGAGAAGGAACAGATTCAATCAAGATAGTTTCACTTCCGATTTGGGATTTCGTCTGACTCATAGGATCATTTGGATGAAATGAAAGGGGGGTTCATGCTTGTGTATTGAGAGTAACATGTTCTCTCATCCTCGATTGCAGGAAGAGACGAAGATAGAAACCCATTTTAGAGAGAAAAAGAGGATTTTCCCCCGAATCTAGGGAGTGGAATGAAAGAAAGCCACTTGGGGGAAGCTGAAATCCGGATGTCACATTTCCTGGGATCAAACTTGTCAAATTCACTAAGTAACATAACAATTTATTTTAAGCACATGGAGGGAGAGAAGTTCCTGTTCTGATATTGAAAAAATTAAGGAAAATCAGAAAAGTTTCTGTTTCCGTAAAATAACATTTATTACTCTAGCAAGTTAGCATTATTAATTGCAAAAAAAATGGCAGCTGAAGATAAATTATTTCAGCCATATGGAGTCTAACAGCTGCAGATTATGTATAGTATAACGAGGCATTCAGAAAAGGCCTTGTGCTCTGTTCTTTCTGCTTTTATGATGACTCTAAACTTCTAACAAACTTCTTAGCCTGCGTCAACATGTTTAATGTTTGGTGAAAGAGCACGATGAAATCAAAAATTTTGTTTTTTGAAGGAAGATTACAGCATATTCATACCTGCTCCAGCGTTAGAAACATTATCACATTCCAAGATCCTAGCCTTCCAAAGTTGGGAATAAAGCCTTTATAGAAGGCTAAAGATCCCTGCATAGCAGGAGATTCAACAAATTAATTGCATCTCAAAACCATGCAAAATAGCAGATAACACAGAATTCCATCAGTAGTTCATAAAGTGCGCGTATGAACAAGTTCAAGTGATTTCATCAGATACCTTTAAAATGCAAAACAAGCATTTCATATTCAACAGAAACAATTCCAAAATGCAGATTTGAGCATGCAGGAGTATGAGAGAGGAGAGCCAAGTGTGAGAGAACAACACAGATTGGTAATTTTAGAAAGTCAGAATGATATAAGAAAACATTAATATAAAAGATAAAAGATCAATTTCAAACAAGTTGCAAGAGTGATAACCATCAATCAAATTTGCTTTTAATAATAAGTTTTGCCTTGTTTGCAAATTATAGTTTGCAGCACAAAATTCTCAGGGCCCGTTTGAATTCAAGCATATCTTTCCAGATTCCAAAAACAAGCACTTGCTTGGCTTGACCAAATAGGGTGGCCACACTTCCAGTGTTTGTTGGAAGAAAGAGTGCAGTGTAAGCAGGTCAGTATTGAGAAGCAGTGAAAGGAACCACAGATAGAATTTACGAATGCAGTCACCTGCACAGCGGCTTTTTTAGGCTGGCTATGAAGAGCAAACTAGATGACAAGTTGATGTGTCTACTTTTCTCTAATTGATCTCTGAATGATATCAGGAGGAAATGTTCTGAGGAAGACTTGAGGTTCATCCACCTTAAAACGGATTTTTTGGATACATTTTGTACAATACAGAAATTCATTCAAAATCTTGTACATAGGGAACATTTAAAGGAAATGTGTAGATGTAATTCTTCCACGGCACTTCGAGATATTTATGGTCACCAGAAAATTAAGGGTGAAATTTCTACCAATTCCAGGCAAAAAAAAATCCTTCAACTTGATCTGTATTTGTCTTAGTTCTGCCCTTTATATCATTGGTTGGTTAATCATCACATTTTATTCATGAAATTTTTGTTTTGTTGAAATTTTGTTCAAAATCTCCACTTCAATATATTCAAAAGTTCTAGTGAGGATCCCAAAAGTGTCCCCTGTTACTCTTGATCTGGCACCCACGCCCATACACACACAGCTGATGACAAACTTAGGTTACATCATCCTTCAAAACAAAAATGACAAACAGAATCATGGATGAAAAAAAATAAAGCTGGGATTAAGAAAATAAACTTACATCATTCTTTAAAGTCTTGACGAAACAGTCAAGTGTACTTTTGTATGTGGAATCTCCCATCATCCTCGACTTGACCTGTGCGAGAGAATAATTTGAGTTAGATTGACTACATGTGAGGCCACCAAGTTCCATTTCAAGAATTATATATCTTCACTGAGTCATGCAAGAAATTTAGCAGCCTAGCTACTAAATCTTCATCTACCATCTCTTACTTTTTATTCTAAGTCACAAAAAAAGAATCCACCAACAAAAATAAAATCTAAAAATGTAAAAAAGCTGTGTACAAATAGGATACCACGTCAACTGGAGATCCTATGCAGACAGCAAAAAAACCGGCACCTAAACCAGCTAAGAGATGGGTGAAAACATTGTCGCTGAAGCCAGGGATTTTCAGAATTGTCTGCGTGACAGTTACGGAAGCGTGATAAGTTAAGATGAAAATAGAAAATAATAAATTAAAAAGATAAGAAAGTGGGAATGAGATGATGCACTTTAAAGTGATCGCACCTGCTTCACTTGATCATAACTAGCTAATTCAGCAGCATTTATGATAGCATTACGTGCAATGTTGGGGCCAAGTCCAGTCCACAAAGCTGTAACTCCTTCCTAAAGTTCCAAATAGTAACACAAAGTGAGGGAAAGAGGTTAACCCTTGAATGCTTATTTTCCCAAGAGGGAGGAGGAAGAGGCAAGAAAATTTTAAGCGATGCTACCTGTCTCACGATAGTAGAATATGCATTTACTGCTCCAGAATACCGCTTTGGCACACCAGGTGGCAGTTTACCTTCAGCTTGAAGTCGCACTTTCACAAGATCAGTAGGATTGGCAACCATAATAGCCACAGCACCTGTGTCATATAGAAGTAGCCAGTTACGATTGCAGAAGTATAAAGTTAAAAGAAGATTAACACCGTGTGTCTCTTAAATGTTTAAGATCCTACACAAGTCTCCTAAACTTTTGAGCTTGGACATAATAAAAAATTAAAGCATATCACGAGATGGTCTAACCAGTTGTGAGTGCAGCAAATACTTTCTTTGATAACGGAACATCCCCAACGTGATCTTTGCCCACATAGAAGGTTTTAACCTGCCAACAAAGTAAAACGTCACTTTATTAAACCCAACAAAGCAAAAAGAACGAGTATGTATTTGCTCACACCATTTCGTGTAAAACCTACAGGTTCATATAATCCAATCCGTAAACCTCCAAACAGGCATTGACGATGTAATCCTGGCACGATGCCCTTCCATAATGCAGATAAACCTTCTTCCCTCGCAATGGTGCCAACTGTACCCAACAATCCCCTATATTTTGGCAATGCTACCCCATCCCCTGCAACAGCTTTCTTCTGTAACTGAAGCCTAACCTTGGCAGTATCCAATGGAATCGTATATATCTATCCATTAAAAGCACTGCATGAGTTAGGTGGTACACAAAATATGCAAATTTCACTCCTGATTGGATGACCATAACATGTATATAAGACAACAGCTCCAAAACTAGTTACAGAGGATGGAAGGAGATTACCATAGTTATGAGAGAATGTACACATTTTATCATACATAAAACATGTTGGAATAATTGGTACTATTTATAGTGAATTGGAATAAATCTCCAATAGCGACAACTCTTCAATGCAAAGGATACATACGAAGAGTCATGTTGCTTAGAATGGGTGTGACTATTTAAAAAATGTTTGATGAAAAGGCATGACCATTTGATAGGGGTGTATACAACACCATTTTATATGAAAAGGTGTAGTCTATGTTAAAATATGCAAACATTCAAAAAGTCACTCGAAAATTTATAAATAGAGACCTTTAGTTCCATTTTTTCCTTATCCAAATCATTTATCATTTCCTAATAATTGATTTCTAATTCTCTCTTTCTTTAAATTCTGTCAAAATAATTTCCATATTATTTTGAGTTTCGTGTTCAATATTCACTATTCGATATCTTCCATTATAGAAGAGTATAGTTAAGCGTTGATTCACCCGACAAAATTAATAGTATGCTATATTAATTTTGAAAGAAACGTTATATCTTGGGAAGAAACGTTATATCTTGGGAGACGGACCGTCCTAAGGAGATTTGCATTCGCATGCCTTGCTTCATTTTCTCTCCTTTGATTTATGTATTTTGTACGTTTGAGTAAGTATTAATTTGCTCATTATTATGCATGTAATGTGATTCGGTAAATCGTTACTATAGTATTTGCATTAACTTGTTTTTTATTAACGGAATATAATTCATGCACTAATTTATCCAACAAAACAAACATATAAACATTTATATCAAAGATCTCCCTCGTCTAAAAAAACTCACAAATTAAAGTGGAAGTGTGAAGCAATGGCATCCCCAACACCAAAGCCGACATTTTACATGGTGCTCTGGATCCCAACTCTATTAATTGTGTGCATATCTATTTGTCTGCACCGTTCCGTATTTATATACATATAAACCTTATTACGAAAAGCAGATTGAAAGAGCAACTTCAGAAATTGTCAATTACAGAGAGAAGGATTCTGTGTACCGGAGATTCAGATTTTCAAATTACATTATGCATGTACTTAAGGACATAGTAAAATCAAACTAATCAGAAGGTGAAAAATCCAAATCAAATCAATCTACAACTCTACTAAAATCAAACCAACATCATCTGAAATTTAAACTACTCAATAGCAGTTCCCTATATAGCAATTAAAAACAGTGAATAGGCACAAATTTTGTAGACATAAATTCGAGCATGAAAACAAGCAGCCGATCTGAAGCCAAACAAAGTTTATATTGGCAGTTCAAAAACAGATTGAAAAATCGACTGTACCTCGGCGAAGCAAGCAGCGAAAGCACTACTGGCAAAAGTTCCTGCGAATGAAATACCCGATTTGGCCTTGCCGTGATCCCCCATCAAAACAAAAACTGAATGAAGCTATCGCAATGGTCTCGTATATACAGTAAGAGAAAGAGATTAAAACCGAAATGAGCAAGCTTTATAGAGAGAATCTCAGGAAAAGCGAAAAAGCAGCAACTAGACGCAATCCCAATTTCTGCAAATGCAATTGGGTCTGAATTCGCATTGTCAGTCATCGCCTTGGCACCCTATTCGTTTCCTACATGTGCCACTAGCTTTGGTCTGTGACTGCCATTGTTCCTCTTCCTTTTCAGTTTCAATTCTTGGGTTTAAAATTTGTGAAGACACCCCTCACCTTTATGACAAATTAGAAACGCTCCCCCATGTTTCAAAAATATTACTTAACCTCTCATATTTATAAATTTAAGTTTCATATACACTTAAAATGAGGCTAATATATCTAAAATGTCCTTACAATTAAACATGATTTTTTTTTTTTGATTAATTGCAATTTAATTTGTTTAAAATTAAATTTTAAGAATATAAACTGACATGTTATCTACATGCTCATTCACATAGTTTAAATTTACTTATTTTATTATGAAATATTATAACGATTAATATATCACATTAACATCACGTCATATTATATTATATAAAATGACTATCAATAAATTTTGAAATTGAAGGTGTATAATGTTTTGATAAACTAACTTAGAGCGTGTTTGATAGAATTTATTTGGGAATAATGAGTTATGGAATAATATTTTTCTGAGAATGTTTGATTAAAAAGTAAGAAAATTTTATTGGTTCGTGTATATAATATTTCATTGTATGAATGTATAGTGAAAAAACGATATTGTAGTAAATAATTTAATTTTTTAAAGGATGACAAACAGGGCTTTATGCTATTTTTTAAACTAAATTTTACTTAAATGGTAAAAAATACATATTTATATTTAACATCTTATTTTAGTTTCTAAAATTATAGATGTGAACTTTTATTCATGCATTTGTTAATATTTAGCTCTTGTTTGAGCCATATTTTTGGGTCAAAATATATTTTAGAATAGTATTTTGTTGGAAAATGTATTATTAAAAAATAAGGAAATATTTTAAATTTACGTATAAAATTATTTTATAGGAGAATGTGTTGTTGAAAATGAGTTTTCGAAAAAATGGGACCAAACATAGGCTTAAATTATGTATATGTAATATAAATAATTAATTAAAAACTTCAAATAATTTATTATCAAAATTTTCAAGAAATTTTAGATTTAAAGTTTCACTAGCATGCATACTTAGAATTGCGTTGGGGTGGACTCAAGGTCGTTCGATTCGAATAAATTAAGAATCAAATCGCACCAATTCCTGTTGGTAATTGTGAAAATGAAATAGTTGGTTCCATAAAAAGGAACCGGATCTAACCAGAATTGATCAATTCTTTTTCTTTTTTTTTTCTTCTTGTAACTGATTCCTTTTTTCGCCATGGAACCATTGGTTCTTGTTAGGTTTGCTTCGATGCTTATATGCTTTTAAAATAAATTTTAAAGAGTTAACCGTTGCGTAAATTTTGTCATTTTATTTTCACATTCTACATTCTAAACTATAAGACTCTCGATTACCATGCATTTCGCCTTTGAATATCATCACTCCAATTCCTACATAAGTCATAAAACAACTATGAACATTGACGTATAATGAGTAAAGTACTAAGCATACAAGGCGTATAATTACATGGCATAAGCATAATATAATTTTAACATTATTGGGTTTAAATACCCAATGAATCTCGGGTTATGATATAAACGTCGAATTCAATTTCATAGGCACTAGCCGATAAGTAAAATTGTTACCAACAACCAAGTCCAAAAATTCAATTTGAAAATAACGTGGACTGTTGGAAGTAGCTTAAGAAATTAATGCTACTCACAGCCCATATATTTCCTATTGGATGGCTTTGAGTCATAACACATTTAATTATATTATTGGTCCAACTAAAGTCTAAGATATCCCTATATATATGTTGCTCTAATCCTAGCCATGAGTGTGTGATTTGTGTATGACATTAAAGAAAAACGTGGTTGTCTCATTGAGTGGAAATTGGTCTCTTCTCTTGCTTTCTTCCATTGTTTTTCTCGTACCTTTGTGGCTTACAAATCATTATCGTTATCTTGTACTTTGTGGGTGAGATTAAAAAGCAACCAAAATGAATATATTTATTGTGGGTTGTAACCATTTGGATTGGTTATTTGGTAGATAAAGGTAACGTGAAACTGAGTCCTGAAATCACCATTTTCGAAAATTTTGGAGCGAGCTTCCGCGACAAACATGATATAATACAAGATGAGTTCCAAACAGATTTGCATGACATCTCTTGACTTACATATTATAATGACCTAATAAATCATACATTTTTTCTTCAAAGGAAATTACATCAAGACTTAAAGGAGCACAAATCATAACTTAACACATAAATAAATATAAAAAGTTTCATGCATGTGGATTGTGGAATAACTTCATCATATAACACAAGAAGTTAATGAATCATAAACTTCTCACATAGATGGCAAATTCAATAGCTTTGATTGAAACAACTTTCACTCACTTAAGTACTTATTTAAAGTATAAAAAGTTAATGCATGCGAAATTAAATTACATTGAAGGCAAGCAATCATAAAGTAATCAAAAACCCAAGGGGTTTTGCTTGTTTTGACATGAAAATAAGATTTTCTCCAAGTTAGGTGTAGAAATTTTAAGTTAAAACAAGAAGATAAAGGTACTCATAACTTTCAAAATAGAAAAATAATTGAATAAGATAAAGGACCAAGGTAACTAATATGCACTCTAGCTCACAGTCTAAAATCATGATACCAATATTTTACTAGGAAGAGGTTTTAGAGTACCACTATCCTCGTAACATTGTCTATTCCTCGTTTAAAAAAGCAAAATCCTTAATTCTTTAACTCTTGCTACAATCCCTTTAAAGTTTTGAGGATCGAATATGAAGAAGTCCTTACTTTGTTAAGGAGCTCCATGCCCATAAACTTTTGCCTCCTTAGATTGACTCCTCCAAGTTCTATCACAGCTTGATCTCTATATAATATTTTTTTTTCTTAATTTTTCTGCAAGAAGTAAAGAGAAAATGTGTTGTAAAGGCCTTGTTTCCTTGAGAGCAAATGAGAGAGAAATGAAAGTGAAATGAGGGTTAAGTGAATTTGAAAAGTAAAGCTTTTGGGGGAAATTTGGTCTAAATAAACCCCTTCTTATAAGTGCAAATTTACTTACATAGTACTTGTGTGAAATAAGTGTATAGTATGTAACAGCACCACGTTTGGCTTCTCTCTTCCTTATCAATAAGTATAAGTTGGTTATTCGTATAACTAATGTGTGTCATTTATATACATATGCATGAGCGCGCCCAATGTATATACACACATTCACTTTATCACTTATTTACTTAACTTATTCATAAGTGGAAATAATTTAATGGGACAAATATTGCGCGCACACATGGATTCATGTTTTTATATAGGTGTATGAATTATTTTGATTGAAAGAAGCTTATTACAGCATAAAGAATCCTTTCTCTTGTAGAGAAAGTCAAATCTTTTGATTTTCCCCACATTTCTATTAATGCACTACAAAGGGACCAACTATAAGAGAAGAAAAGTGGATCTTTAGCCCTTTGGTGGCTATTTTTTTTAAAATACATTGTTTCGAATTGCGATTTTTCGAAAAATGTGTGGTTAAAGAATTTAAAAAAATTTTGCATTTACAAGTGAAATATTTTATTGTGTGAATGTTTGTTTGAAAATGAGTATGTAAAAAGAATTGAAAGAATACGAGACACACAAGGGTTTACTCCTATTGCCAGCTGTCCCACCAATCATTTTTCAATTTTGCAAATATTTAGTTGTAGGTCCTTTATACAAAGATTCGAAGTGATCGTTATGAGCTTTGCAACACAACAAAAATGGCATTAAATAGACAACTATAGTGATCATCATGGTGACTTGAACATGATTACTCGATCATGGGGTTGTTGAAACACTTCGCCCTTATTTGATTTAGCTAAAAATTACATTTTTTAGTAAATCTTAAAAATAAGAAATTGATGAAATGTGGGGTAAAAAGTTGATAAAAGTTATTTATACCATTTAAATATATGATTGAAAATGAGTACAAGGAAAAATAATTTTTGAAAATTGAAAGTTGAACCGAAACTTAGCTACCTTCTTTGGGCTCTTGCAAATTATTGTTCCATTCATCTTCCTATTTAGTCATCTTCCTATTTAGTCGATGTTTGATTCTGTTAAAATTAAATTTTTAATTAATTTTGATAAAAGTTATGGATCTCATGGAATGCATTGTTGAAAATGAATTTGAGAAAAATTACTTTAGAAAATGAGGGTTAAACATAAACTTAATATCACTAGTTTAAGTTCGATTCTTCTACAATTAGCCTAAACTTTATGTTGTGAAGTGAAGCTAGGCGATAAAATTATTATATATTTTCACAATAATTAGTTTGTCCACTAGACGGAATAAGTTTCGTTACCACTTGGGCACAATGTAGTTATCATTCCTAAACGTGCGCCATTGTTGTGTAAATTAAATGGAGAAGTTTCAACATCGTGCCAGTCCATCACTGGAAAATAACAATGTGGCACTCGACCATTCCGAGGAAATGAGAAAATTAAGAATTCAATAGGCGGACTAAGTTGTCAGTTAGGTGGCAAGTGAAGAGGCTATGACGCGTGGCTTGTTTATGGGAAAAAATAATGAAATGTAAGGTAGGTTCGCACCGGCAGTGATTCGTTTGATGACTAGGATGTGGCCGTCAACGTACAAATCTTTCCCGCGGTCCAATTTCCAATGATGATAATATGGAACAAGGTACAACTCATGACTTGAAATCTTCCAAATTTGACTTTATTAGCTACTTCCAAAGTGCTTTCAAAAGATGGTATGTGAACAAGAGAAGATGACTTACCATTTCACAAGAACAGTAGCAGGAGACATTTTCTTTTCCACTGATGTGACAAGATGTGGTCTTGACGTCTTATCGGGTGCGGTCTAAAATATCGGTTAGACGACAAGACCATATCTTACAAGTGTCAATTAGAGAAGTTTATTCTTCCATTTTTATGAAAGTAAAATTGTTGGCGACAAAATTTTAATGAACCCTATACTTTTTCGAGGACAATAACTACCATTAAGATGGAATTAAGAAGCGTGTAATCTTGACGTGAGATAAAATAATTTAATGACGATCAGCCTCGTTAATGAATCAAATCTTGCTCTTAGATCGAGTAGAGCATCTATCGTCTAATAATTCAATAAGATCGATCAAAATTCAACTTTTTTTTTTGTTGCGATAGCTTCTTAAATGAGCTTTTACTTTTTTTTGTCCTTAAATGAGCTCTTACATTTTTTCGTCGCGATAGCTTCTTGAATGAGCTTTTACGTTGGAGTAATGCTACTTGCAGTCGCTCACTGCAGCAGTCGCCCTATGTGACACACATATGGCATGTAGTTATTTGATGCATTAATGTTGCAGTTTTTTACCATATTTAATGTATCAAATACACACTTGACATGTGTATGCCACATAGGGCGACTACTGCATTGAGCGACTACAAGTAGCATTATTCTTTACGTTGACATGTGGTTCAGCAATAAACATGGAATAGTCATATAAATTTATGTGTTTTCCCTCTTAATTGATGAATTAATTAAAATTTTATGAAATTTATCATTATCTACTCATATAATTATTATCTCATCATCAATTGCAAAACTGATGTAGATTACAACTATTCATCTTTATTAATCTTTATATCTCTTTTTTTTAAAGATAACAATAAAAAATATTGAAAATCTTATCAATTGAAGACGTGAATAATCCGTAGGATTCTTCGAGGATGATAATATCCTATTTTTATTTACATATTCTGTAAGATCCATTTTAACGTTTTATAAATAATTATAAAATTTGACAAAATAAATAGGGTTTAAAGCAAGTCTTTTCTATTGATATAGACACCTTCGAATCGTATCCATATGACCCTCTTCACACTGCCCCCTTCTTCCAAAATAACGGAGGAAACTACCTTTCTCGATAGTTAAATAACACAAAAAGAACAGAAATTCTTGTACAGTTAGACTTCATCGTACATATAAATACATGCCCGAGCAAAGTTTAAAACCTCCGTCGTCATTCATGGCTACCGTTTTTCTCTTTCTTTTTCCATAATTTTCTCACCGTTTCTTTCTAAAGAAAAAAACCGTGTTCATAGTGGCAATGACAACCGGTGCCACCACCGGCAACTCCTTGCACGGCAGCACTCACCGACGCCGCGGAGTCGACGCCATGAATGACTTGGAGAAAGAAATTAAATTTTCTGTATGTAATTCTTTAAACGATATAGATTCAGAAACATTGAGTAAAAGTGACGGTGTAACTAGTCAATACATATGCAAACATAAAAAGGGGCCGGAGAATTGGGTTTTCGGATCAAGGAAGAATATGTGGCGTTCGTTATTCGGGTTGACGTTGATGTTCATGGTGGTTTTGGTGTTTTTCAAATTCCATTTCATGATGAAAAATGAGATTTTGATTATTCAGAATTTCAAGAATGATTTATCAGATGCTCAGAGTGCAACATTTGATTCCGATACCTCTTCAAATTCTGCTGTGAAGAAACGGCAGGCGAGGGAAATTCCGGTAAATACAACCCAATTATTTCTTCATTTCGTTTCATGATTTTGAAAAGTTAAAATGCAAAGTTGATTAATGGCTCCAATGAGTGTTATAATGTCAAGTTTTTCGATTTTCTAATAAATCAGATCGAATTTTGTGTGTTTTTGGATTTCCTTTCCCTTGTATTTATTGATGAAATTTAATTGAATTTATAAATCTCAAAAAAATTCCATTTTCTGAAATTATAAGAACCTCATTTTCCTAATTGACTGGTTTTTTAATTTTCAGTTTCCTTGAGATTTAGATGACATGCTTACACTAACAAAGAAGGTTCTCTTTGACAGGTCCAGGATATTTGGTTGAAACCAAAGAGTGATAACTTTTACCAATGCATTGCTCGACCGAAGAATCGCATAAGTATGTCAAAATTCAACAATGCACCTGCAGAAATCTGTTTTTGTGTTTGATATTCATGAATGTTCGGATTTCTTTCAGGGACAGGGTCGACAACAAACGGTTATATTCTGGTTCATGCGAATGGGGGACTCAATCAAATGAGAATAGGAGTTAAGATCACATCTATACTTGTTTGAGTATTTCTTTTTTTCTCGTTTTAGCTAATCAAACGTTGAAATTAATCTCAGATATGCGATATGGTTGCTGTTGCAAAGCTTATGAATGCGACTCTTGTGCTTCCTTCCCTTGATAGCGCATCCTTTTGGTCCGATCCTAGGTATATGTTGTCAATGTGGTTGATTGAGACCTTCTTTTGTTCTTAATCTCTGCCTCTCCTTAGCTTATATGATTTTTGCAGTGAATTTAAAGATATTTTTGACTGGAGGCATTTCATTGAAGTTTTAAAAGATGATATCGAGATAGTTGAATCTTTGCCATTAGAGTATGTCAAATTGAAACCTTTTTACAAGACACCTATCTCTTGGTCAAAGGTTTGAAGATAATAAGAATTTTCATATGTGTCTAGTTACATTAGTTGTGGTCGTCTTGGAACTGATTTTGATGCTTTATTTACAGGCTAGTTACTACAAAGAACATGTTCTTAATTTGTTAAAGAAGCACAAGGTGATCAAGTTTACTCATACGGATTCGCGACTTGCTAATAATGGTCTCCCGCCCTCAATCCAGAAGCTCAGGTGTCGTGCAAATTACGAGGCTCTCCGCTACACAACAGAGATTGAAGAGCTTGGAAAGAAGTTCGTTGATAGACTTGGGAAAGACGGTGAACCGTATATTGCTCTTCACTTGAGGTAATAGTTGTACAAGATTGTTTCTGTTCTTTCTTTGTTTGTTCCTTGTGGATCTACTAAATTTCTATTTTACTAGGTATGAGAAAGACATGCTTGCATTCACCGGTTGCAGCAACAATTTGACCACAGTCGAGGCTGAGAAACTTAGTGTCATGAGGTATAATGTTAAGCACTGGAAAGAAAAAGAGATTGACGGCAAAGAAAGGCGACGGCAAGGGGGCTGCCCTCTTTCTCCCCGGGAAGCAGCCCTGTTTCTCAAGGCCATGGGGTATCCTTCCTCAACGCGAATATACATAGTTGCAGGGGAAATTTTCGGTAAAAATAGCATGGATGCATTCGAATCTGAGTACCCTAATGTTTTCACTCACTCAACACTTGCAACAGCAGAGGAGTTGGAACCCTTCAAGAATTATCAGAACCGACTCGCTGCCTTGGATTATCTTGTAGCCTTAGAAAGTGACGTATTCGTTTTCACATATGACGGGAATATGGCGAAGGCTCTACAGGGGCATAGAAGGTTCGAAGGATTTCGTAGGACAGTAAACCCGGACAGGTATAGCATAAGCACTCCTTCAATAGGTTGCTATTTTTTCTGTCAAATGTAAATTGATTTTATTCGTTATTTTTCAGGTTAAATGTTGTTAGACTGGTAGACAAGTTGGATAAAGGTACTATTTCTTGGGACGAATTCACGTCTGAGATCAAGAGCATACACTCCAATAGAATCGGATCACCATACCTTAGACAAGCCCGTCACACAACAAGACTCGAGGAGAACTTTTATGCAAACCCTTTTCCCGGTTGCATTTGCTACAGTTCTATGAATGAAGGAAAGCATCAGTGACTGGATCAGTGACCTAATCCAAGAGTTGCTTCAGAAAGAGAGGTGTTTCCATTTTAGTTTGTAAGTAAAGAATACAACACATGATGCAACGCGAACTGCTGTTGTATAGGGTATTGCTAGACGCTTGATTGTCACCCTCATCGAATAGTAAGGATCGATTCTTCATACGATAGGGTGTCGAAAGGCGAGAAGGTGAATATATTTTGTTGATGAAACAGTAAACACATATTTTTGCAGTTGATTGATTTATTCATTCTTGTTTCCTTCACTAGATCTCATATTGTATTGCCAAACTGGCTCAATACACTTTGTAATGACTTCATTGAGAAAAGAAAATTTTGTTACTTTTGTTCATCTTTCTATATTACGGTCCTGAAATCAGTCCAGGTCAGGTCAAAAGTGGGCCACTAGCTGAATAGAATAGATGTGGAAAATTTGGACAAGACCAGTCAGTGCACTTCGGCTAATATTTCATGACTTGACTTGTCGATCAGAACTGGCCATTGATTGGTGCCAATCGCAACAACACTTATCAAAGTCAAAAGTATCTTAAATTAGTTAAAAATGATTTTCAAATAAGTTGCGTTAATCAAACGTTTCGACGTATCTGTAGTTGACTCGACGTATTTGTTTCAAATTGTTGATAATCTTGGAAGCCTCGGAAAGAGATAAACAACTATTTAATCAATCAAAGTACGAACTTATTTTGTCACATATATATTTCACAAAGTACTGATACAACATGGTCATTTCATATCTTAACATTATCATATTTTCAGTCTCGTCTTGATAAACTTTTGAGTTATTGTTATTGAGGTATAAACAAAAAAATGGCAAAAACTCGAGTTTTGAGTAGGGACGGATAATTCTTCGTCCCGAATCTTTTTTTAATATTATTAAAATTTACATTTTTTTTAATTTACGTCGTATATTAAAAAATAATTAATTAATTAAACAGTATTTTTTTTATTCCCTTCATGCCCCGCCTAACTTTTTGTAAAGCCCAAAAAATAATTTAAAAAAAAATCAACGAACGACGTCGTTTCCATATAATCATGAAATTAGGGCTTTATCGCCTTCCCCTTTTGAACTCGTTCCAACTTTCTGAAATAATCATCTCCTTTTATTAGGCAGCTTCTTTATGTTTATCTCCTCAGTGTGCTTCCTCCTCCATTCGTTTTTGAACTAATTATTATGTGAATTTTGTTGAAATGATGTTCCTTTATCCTGTATTTTATACTTCGATTTTGTGTTAATTTGCATTGGATCAATGATATTGTATTTATCTATCTGAGATTCCCAGCTAGGAGCTTTATATTACTTTCTACCTTCCTGAGATGCAATTATCTTTTTTGATTTCTCCTATTTGGTACATTAGCATCAATGGCAATTCTGTGTTTTAATTGAATTGTTATCCTCCCACTTTAGTTGTTTGAGATTTGTAATTCGAAGAACTTTTTTCTCGTTTCCTGATCTATTTGTTTTGTCATATATGTATTCTTCTTCATAAAGCTAAGTCATTCTTTTACTCATATTGTATCCATGATGTTAACTAAAAACACACTATCTACTTGTAATTTCCTTTTGCAAGATTGATGCTGTGAAAAATTCTGATGTTCGAATTATACTCCTTTCTTATTCTTATTTCGGGCTCGCTGTTCTTTTTCTGTTGATTGGTTTTCTGAAATGCTAAAATTTGTCATCGAAGTTGCAGTGTGTGTGACTTTTTTTATAATGCCTGTTATTCCTTGTTTTAGTTATACATGTGAATTACTGCATCTTAAAAATGTAGCTGTTCCCTCACACCAATCAAGTGCAAAACTTGTAATGTTATTAACTGCCAATCAACTCTGTATCTTTTGAAACATATAACTCAAGATTTGTTTTCATTTTTATCGTCTGTCTTTTGTTCTCATAATTCATCTTTCAGCAGCAATTATACATGCTGTTTAATTCCCCTGGTTATGGACAGAGCAAATATGGGATCTGAAGTACATGATGTCTGTTGCTGACCCCATCATGGCTGGTGCTTCATCATATTGTTTGTGTCTGGAACCTAAAATAAGTGAAAGGTTAATGCTGAATTTGCAAAATGAAGAACTTTAGCTACTATTTGGAGTGGATTCAAAATGCTGACTATGTGAAGTTAAGTGTTGGGCTATCCCACTGGTTGAGATGGCATTTGCCTTTGTTTGAAGAGCGAGCAGTCTTATAGTTTATGTTCTGATATATGTTTTTGCTAGCACCAGTATCATAATTTTATGATATAACGATTTTTGAGTCCTTTGACAGTTGACACTACAGGTCTGGGACCATGAAAGAGTTACCCATTGGAATGATCAAGATTTACCCATTTTCGTTTTAAATTAAACATCTAATGATTAACAAGAACATATTGCTCTCAGAACCAATAAAATTTATGAGAAAATTTATGGGAAATCAAAATGCTTTACAAGAAAGATGAAGATCTTTAGAATCTTGAATGTCTGTCTCGGTAAATTAGAATTCCATCTCTACTGCAATTGCCTCTACAGGGAATTGAGGATGTGATTGGTTTTTATGTGATTGGTTTTTAAACCAGTTGCTGCCCTTGCACCAAAACTTGTACCAATTAATAAAGGATCTCCTCAACTTCAAGTATTTTAATCTTCTCTAGTACATCTGCCACGAGGAAAATATTTCCTCGATGATAATAAGTTATGAGATCATAAAAAATTTATTAGATCATCAGTAAGATAATGATGGAACTATGCAACTATTATCCTTCCGATATACTGTTATGCATTCAAAAACAAATAAAAACTGCGAAAAGATATCATCAGTAATGAATATAAGATTATTATACTACTTAGATAACCAGAACTCAGTAAAAAAATTATACCACTAACAAAAGAGTAAGTGATAAGAGAAAATTTTCTAATATTTGTACAAAATCGAAAACATTCACTGACTTCTAGTCTAGATGATCTATTACAAAATTCTCATCCTAATGCTAGGCTTGATCATCTGTTACAATAATTGAAGTGTCATCGTTAGCCTTCCAACGTGTACTGCATAAAGCACAACCTCAACCCTCTGGTGCTTGCCTCCTGAGTACTGTAAATTCCAATCTTGCCTCGTGAGCATCCCATCTAAGCCCAACCTCATCGTTCTCCATGAGTTTCCTCCTTTTCACAAAATGTTGCATCCAATTATTCTTCAATACAAAACTGCCAGTCTTCCATTTTGTAAGTTTCAACATGTGCCCTGTACTTGTATCAACATCGTAAACAATAACACGAATTCCCTCATTATTCTGGCAAAACTCAGATGGATTGTCCATAAAGAAAGGTGCAATATGACTCAACACTTCGTTTCTTCCCATCAAGAGTCTTGAGGAACCATCTACATCACTTTTTTTCAAGACTTTCCTGATTGTCCAATGATTAGGATCCCCAGGTTGAAACTGAACCTGTTGTATTATTTCAGCATTTATTATTACCTGATCCTCATCTTGAACCTCAACATCTTCAATTATTTCAGCCCCCATTATAATTGAATCCTCTTGTTGAACTTCCTGAACCTGTTCAATCATTTCAGCCCCCATTATAATTGGATCCTCATGTTGAACTACCTGTACCTGTTCAATTATTTCAGCACCCATTATTATTGGATCCTCATGGTGAACCTCAACCTGTTGAACTATTTCAGACCCCATTATCCTTCTTCTCATAATAATACTATCTTGTCCGAGTTCAAGGTGAAGTAATGTTTGATCAGAGTTGGATTCTTCAACTCGAGAAGATGCGCCACTTTTTCTAGCATTGTTCTCACTAGACAAATAATCAGAAGATTCAGCCGCGTTCCTTTTCGGCACTATCACCCTTCTTCTCTTCATAATTGGACTCCCTAGTCTGAGTTCAAGGTCAATTGAAGTTTCATCTGAGTTGGATTCTTCAACTCGAGAAGATGGTGTTGTAGTATGGTTCTCACTAGACAAATGATCAGAAGATTCAGTCACGTTCTTTTCCGGCACCATTATCTTTCTTCCCTTCATAATTGGACTCCCTAGTCTGAGTTCAAGGTCAATTGAAGTTTCATCTGGGTTGGATTCTTCAACTCGAGAAGATTCTCCGCTGCTCATACTAGACAAATAATCACGGAATTCAATCGCCTTTCCTTCGTGACTAGTTTCCGCACAATCCTTTTGATTTATTTCAAGATTACGTTCTTTTAACCAGTCATCTTCTTCCTTGTTGTTAAAAGGGGCAATCGAAACACCGAAAATCTCGATTATTCCAGAAGAGGAAGAAGACGGACAGGGATCAGGAGAAAAATCATTCCCGCCTGGAAGATTGACAGCATTGGGAAGCATATCGGAATTGCGTGAAAAAATTCAAAGCTTTTTTTTTCTGAAAATTGTATGAATGACCATGTATATCGAGTGTATATATATAATTAAATTATATGTTCCTAAATCCCCCTCAAACTAGAATTTTGAATTTCACAAGGATTTGATACTTCTTTTAAACTGGGATTTGAAGATTTTCTTATCCAGGAAATTCTCACGAACCTTGAATGCAAAGTTTCTGTTTTACCAGCAAAATTAGGTGCTTTTGTAGTGTTTATGGTATATTTCCTTGTATGAAAACTTTAGATTTGAAGTTCAATTTAGTCAGATTTTGTGGTGCTCTTTATTATTATTATTATTATTATTTATTTTTTCCATCCTTAAAGTTGTGGATACCGATAATGAAAAATTCATTAGTAATTTTGTAAATGAAATATAAAGAAATTGAGAGAATGTGCATAAAAATCAGTGTTCTAAAAAGTTAGTGCGTAGGCTCGAATCTTGGGATAAATGTCTCGCTTCGTGCCTGAACTTTTTTTTTCAATTCTAAACGGTTGAATTTTTTCCTTCCTCTCTTTCATCTTCCCTATGCGCCCTTTTTTAATTTTTTTCTTTTTTTTTAAATGTCTTGACTTTAGCTTATTATTTTTTTTTATTTTAAAAAAAAGTATTTGACTTTAATTTCAAGTTTTTAAAAGATTTTATCTATAAAAAGTTAAAAATAACTTTATTTAAATAATTAAATAAGATCTAAGTTATGGTGGTATCTACATTGTGTAATTATAATTTTAAGACTCTTTATTTTATTGTAAACTCCAAAAGCATGTATGAAGATCCTATAAATTTATTAAATATAATTTGTCTAGTTGAAAATTGAAACTATAAAAAATATTTTAATTTTTGCATTTTTAAAACTTGAAAATTGTATAATTGACTAATGGTATGAATTATTAAGTAAATATAATATTTTATAATTTTAAATATTTGAAATGTATTATTTCAATTATTAAATGAATTTAAATGATCAAAAATTTAAAATAACAAAACTCTTTTTTTTCGCCTAAACACGTAAAGTTTGAAAGTGCACTTTCACGTCTAGCCACGCTTTACTTTTTTTTAAAACACGGCTGAAGATAGATTAAATGTTCACATGTAGGTCGAACAACAGTTACTGTAATATTAATGAAGTTTTGTATTTTCCCATAAACATTTTTTTTTTCAAGAATATCTAGACCTAGTGGTGCTAAATGACCAGCAAAGGTGTGTGAAAACTTGTCTCAATAATGTTTTTGCTTCGAAATATCCCTTGAAACTTGCTTAAAGANTGGAGCATAATGGGCTCTGATACCATATTAAGAGTTGGGGGTCCATCTTAAAAGGTCAACCTTATTAAGAGGAGTAGCCCAAGATCTTTATTAATTGGTCTGTGTCAACATCATTTATCGATGTGGGATATATATCCCTTAACACAAGTAACATTATTCTAAGACATAAGGCTATTTCTTAGATCGTTGTTTTGTGTGAAAAAGAAGAGGATTATACTAAATATTTTCACGAAATCAACAATTCTATTAAACGAGTTAACAAATAAGTTCAAAACTTACGTCAACCATTTGTGGTGTACGATAATACGTCAACAAACAGATGAAAGCCATGTTGAAAATTGAGATGGACATCCCCTCCACTACTCGGAAGTTGGAACTTGATCTTGTACCACCCACAGCCCGGCGTCACAAGCCTAACTATATGTTTCAAGTAAATCTAATATCGATCTGCAAATTTCGTCTTGGGATAAGATTATCAGTTATTCATCTCCTCTTGTTTCCTTTTTCTTTAGGATGGAGTGGGGTTCATCTTTCTTCAACTATGAAAGCGCAAGACTCCACGCAATTTGTACATCACATAATTAAGAGTAATCACTGTGAAAAACAAAGGAATTGCAACAAGCAAAATGAGAAAAAAAGAAAAAGCATGCAAACAAGGCACAAGTCAGTGGAACACAACATCTTAGGACTAAATTTCAATACAGACAAGTTATTCAGGTGCCAACATAGCTAGCCTCTGAACCCGAACCACGTGGCAACTGATGCAAGACGCTTGTCGGTGACGAATTGGATGTTGACGATCTTAACGCCTCAGCAAGGGGTCCGCCCATTGGAGCCACCTGATTAGTCCCCCATGGTGCACCCCAATTCAATTGAAGCCTCTCTCTCTCGCCGTTAATAACTCGACGCTGAGAGTCATCTACGTCGTCTCCAGTACTGAGTTTCAATGAGAAATCTGATGATGGGTTTCCAGTCCCCATCGAAATGGACAAGTTGGTGGCTGAAGCCATGGAGCTGGTTGCATTGTCTGTTTCTTGAAGTGATCTAGGCCAATCATCAAAGAAATGGCGAAGGGTTCGACCACTAGGTTCGCCGTTGTTTTGGGGACCCTTTGTCTCAATCATAGATTCTGAAGGCCTACTGTTGTCATCGACCCAAATTAGGCAAAGATGTGTTATGTACAAAGTCCTTAATCCCTATTTACGAGAGCAATACAAGAAACCAAGAAAATGAAGATCTCATGCTCCTTAAACTTGCCCGTTAGTAAAAGGCCTCTAGCCCTTTATACAACGCCCTTAGATCAAATTATTCTTTATCCGAATTAACATTTTTACCCCAAAAAAAAGAGGGGGAGGGGCAGGGGGGATGAATCTGAAATTTTTGGTAGAAAATTGAATGGGGACCCTTGCAAAGGATAAGAAAACAAGTGGTTGGGGTGAGTTTGTGCAATAAATGGCCTTGTGCTCTGTCCAAACTCAAAAATATCATAATAGGGTCCTACAGAGATACAGAAAATCTAAAGTGAATTCATATAGTGGACCTCAATCCAACAAAGACAAAAGAGTACTGGGGAATGCTGTTTGAGAATATCAAACCACTTTGATGGCAAAGATCATTGAATCAAGTTAACATTCAAGTTCTTCCTTTTGGGGAACATATAATTGCTATCAGAAATATAATCAGACTCCCCCAAACCCCACAGAATAAGTTTAAAGAATTCAACTTGAAATACAAGATTTTGCCCCTTCTAATGCAGTCAATAAACTAATTAGTTCTTGATGACATAATGTTTATGTATCTTAATTTCATAGCATAATGAGTTAGTTTACAGATTAGTTTATTTCTTTTCTTGATTATAGACTAAAAGCAAGTTTCAAATAGAACAAAGCTTATATACCTTTGATTAAAGTGAAGAAGATCCATGGAAGGTGAAGGCCCGGAAAGAGAAAAAGGCATGGTGACACCGCCACGGCCACCACCTGTTGCTTCCCTAGCGACGGCGTTGGTCGTCTTAAGGATTTCTCCAATACCATTGCTGCCGGCTTTGCCGCCATAAGGAGTAGAGGTGGGCGTGGGGATTTCCACAGGCTTTCTTGAACGGTTGCGGCCGCGGTGAACATGACGCTCGCAGTACTTCTGCCCGGCAACTACATCCCTCGAGCACCGCCACTTCTTGCCGTCAGTCCTCCGGCATCTGCCTGGCTCCGGATCCATGGCCCCTTTTCCCCAGTATCCAGATTGCAGCACTGATCCACCATAGATGTACACAGTTGAGAACAATATAGCAAATGAAAGTTCTTTATAGCAAAGCTAATTAATTAACCCAATCTTAAGGATGCTAAACTGCATACATGTTTCGAATATGCAATTTCGCATATTCCAAGGACTAGATGCCAAGCAACATTCTTGAAAAACTCGATTCGATTTTATCAAGTAACTTGCTTGGCTGGTGAAAAAATGTACCATCAGGAAATATGTGCCTTGTGCTAGATATGAGAAAAGAAATATTGTGTGGTCGACGCCTTATTGCTAGGGATTGAGTCCTAAAGTAACAAATAAATCAGAAACGCACACAAAAAACCACAGATTTATAATAGTTCATCATAAACTAGAAAGCTAAGTCGAAAAAAGATTTCCCTGCATGATATTAGAGTGATCTAAGGCCATTCAAAGAGGGCACTTAAAAATCTACAGTGACCTGATACAAATATGGTGTATGGTATCTTAAGCTCTTTCAGTGCTATCAAGTACTAGTACATTCAAAGAAAGAATAAGCTGGAGTGAGGGAAAAAAAAAGCACTAAACTTACAACCTGGCTGATAATGGGGATAGTAGGGATGAAGAGGGTGGTGAGAGAGGTAATATGGAGAAGGAGAAGGAGAATTTATAAAGCTTTTCTTAACAAGATGGAGTAGTTCAGATGGAACAGCAGCACCAGCTATCATATGTTTGAAGATCAATGCCTGCAGTTCAAGTTCTTGCCACTGGGCCAAGCTGAAGTAACTCCCCATCCCTGACAATATCCCACAACAAAAAAGAGAGAAAGATCGTAAGCGAAACTTGTAAGCTAAAAAAACCCCCAAAAACTTAACTTTCCATAGCAGCAAACTGTAAAATTTCTGAAGACACTGTCACACACACATGGATGAGAGAGAGAGAGAATAATACAGGGAGCTTTGTTGGCAGAGGGTATAGTTGAATCAGAAGAGTAGGCTGACAGGTTGCTGGTGGGATTAGGTACGAACAACGGGAGTGCAGGACCAGGTGGTTGCTGTGGATGAGAGTCAAGGAGAAGTCTTGGTAGTTTTGCAGAAGGTGTTTGTTGTTTTTCTTCTTCTGACTCGTGCTGGTCTCTCCATTTCTTCAGATTGAAGTCCATGGTAAAAGGAATTAGATACACACACAGGGTATGTTTAGTTTCAGTAAACTTTGTTTGGTGTGTTATGTAAGAGAAAGTTTGTAAAAGCTTTTGCAGGGGACTTGTGTGGACCCTTTATATCTTTTGTTTTGGTTCATTAAATTTCAATGCAAGTGGAGAAGAATTTTAGGCACTTGTGAGACAAGACAGCTGAGAGAAAAAATAAGTTAAAAATAAAAAAGTAAAAGCATAAGACGTGAATGAGGGGGTGGGGATAGTCTGCAGACTGTGTCTGTCTGTGCAGCTTTGGAAACAGAACAAAAGATAGTATCAGTCATGACTCATAACTGTAGAGCTTCAAGAAAGGTAAAGATATGATTTTACAATGTAATATGGAAATGCAAATGCATTTTCACTGCAAATCAAGAATTGAGACCATGAGAAAGAGAGAGAGAGCTGAAAACGTAAATCCCGTTTCAGGCCAAGTCAGTCAGTCATGTCTAAGTTGGTCAATTGCATTGAAATGAAGTTCAAAACCTCAAATTCCAAATTCTATCTGTCATGTTCTATCTTAAGCAAAAACTTTTCTGTAATAATAGCATTGCTCGTCCAAATAGGCTGCCTGAGCTACAATTTTGACCGACTTTGAAACAGAAGAATGATAGAGAAAATGGCAAAATGCATAAGGGTTTTGTTATACTAACAGTTCCTGTTTGATAATGATTATTTTAAAACTCTTTAATTCTCCTACTCATTCTCAATCATACATTTACTTAACAAAATATTTGTACGTAAACACTGAACTTTTTTCAACTTTCGAACCACACATTATCCGAAAAATTACAATCAGTTTAGAAGGTCTAGGCTATGGATAACACGTGGAGATGTTCTTACAGAGTTGTATTTTTAATTAAAAAGTCATTTGTTAATAAATAAAGTGTGAATTATTTACATTTACCAAGATATTCGAGTAACGTGAAATTGTTTCTCTAGGTGTTATTCTCAGACAAGATAAAGGTCATCTCTTGCCTAGGGTCATGTTCCCAGCCTTCCCCATGTTATGACATGATAATCGCGAGGTTTCCATCCCTACTTTATGGTCAAATCTCCTGTATTTTTTTTTCATGTTTACTGCTCATTTTTTTATAAATAATTATTGGGAAGTACATTACGAGTCCATTGGTGGGTTTTCAGCAATTTCTACTTAAGTTTTTGTGTTTTATTTTATTCGACTCCGTCGTGTTTGTCCATTACAATTCACTTGTACACTATGATAATTAAAGATGGTAAAATTTTATGGAAAAATTCGTTTGTACAAAAATTCACCAGAATACAAATAATGATTGGTCCCACCATGTATTAAAAATAATAATAATGTGCGGGATCTACATATGTGTGTTTTCTGTGAATTTTCTGATGAATTGGCTTCTATACATGAAGCATATCTCAAATTTTATGAATTGTTAGTTCATTCGTCATGAATTTGACTTATTTACTAAATTATAAATACATCCTCGACATGAATTTTTATTGGAAAACCCATATGTAAGATTGATGGTATTGTTGCGAACGAAGTTCCTATATGGGAAAATTCTACCTACCATAATAAGACAAATTTCATCTTCGTCTTTAATCAACGATGAAATTATTTTATTTGCCCATCTTAATATTGGACTAACATTGAGATGTTTATTTCCTTAAGACGACGCTTTGTAAAACCCGTGTGGTCGGTTGTTTCTATGCAACAATAAATTCTTTAAGTCGCAAACTCTTTTTATTCAACCCATCGATCTATTGGGGTTTTTTTTGTAGTCGCATCATTTTTAGTCACTAATGTATAAATCCTAAACCAGTATAAATGGTCTTCAAATTAATAATAAGTAAAATTTAGTTGTGCTTATCTCAAAGACATTGCCAAAATTAGGTTTGTTCTCGATTTGATAAATTTCAAGTTTGGGGGTAAGAATAATGTTATTCGCAGTGAAAATTATCAGTGTCATATATGTGGTGGTTTGTGATTTGATGCATTAATGTGGTAATTTTTTATTAACTTATACATCAAATTACAAATCATCGCATATATATCACGTAAGAAGACTTATCAATAATTCTTACTAGGCCCCCAGGGCACATCTCCAAGTGGTAAAAGGGAAAGGTGGAAAAACTCCAACTTTGCTTAAGGCTGCCGCATCAGGGGTTCGAATCCTGAAATATGGATTTGGTCATTGGGTAAGTGTAAGTGTACAAGCAACCTTCCACCCTATACCTTTGGAGGCATAACCTGCAATTTACCTCATTTATCAAAACCCAGAACAGAATAGATGGGGACAGCTAAGGATGCGGTTCATCATTTTTTTTATTTTTTTAATAATTCTTACTAGCATTAATATGGGGTAATTAAGGTTTTGGAATGGAGTAGATGACAATGAATGAGGTCTGAGGAAAATAGACCAAACATCTGATTAATGTCAGAAATGCGCTATATTGTGGTCCAGTACTTGATTTATTTTTTGAACAAACTAACTACTGTTTGTGCATGATGTGACAATTCCTTAGAATGTAAAACCTCGTTTATAAGTCGAGTTTTGTCATGTACACCTCGTTTGATCCACCATCTTAAAAAAAAATGCATTCTTTTAATATTTATTTTCAACTATACAATTTTTAATAAATTAATATTACACACAAATTCAAAATTTTTTATTCTTTTTAACCACATATTTTCTATCACGTCACTATTCAAAATACATTCTTTCCTTAAGAATGTACATCAAACAGGGGCATAGTGTGACAATTCATGAGTTGCCAAGTTGTTTGATCATTATTTATTCAAATCAATAGTCAAAATGTTTACACATCTTGGATTGTCAAATTTAATACAAAATCACAGTACAAATAGTTTAATTCTTACTAGTTCGTCCCATAGAGATAAATTTACTTTCATTTTTACACTGATTAAGAAAATATAATTAATATTGAAAATATAATTTTTTCTAATATATTCAAATTAAATATGATTTAGCCCTTTTTTGCCCCCAATTATATCACATTCCATTACATTAATTTTTTCTCTCTCTTCATCTCAACCATCCATTCATCAAATAAAATAATAATACACACAAATCAAAAACTTTTCAACCACACATCTCCCATCAATCACTATTCTAAAAATTATCTACCCCCCAAAAATTTAAATTAATGGAGGGCAAACAAGGGCTTAGGTCCTCACGTGATCGAACTGTTAACATGGACGTTAAGTTTGAACGCAACTTTTAGTTAAATCGAGAGAATTGTTAAGTGATTTTATAAAATTGTCGCTGAGGTCGCGTACAATTTTGCCATCCATATTGATGTTTTGGTCGAGTGGTTACGTAAATTAAAATATTTAAGTATATTGAAGATTCAGATCCTCGTTTTTAAGGGCTGGAGAGTCATAATCATGCAAAATTAATAAATAAATAAATACATGTGATGCAATTAGATAGTTTAATTGAATCGACCGTGTTAGAATTAGATAAAAAAAAAAATTACTTTTTTTTATGCAAGAACGAGCCTCTAATCCAAATATTGGGCAAGAACCCTTGAGCACACCTATTTCTGAGCCAAAACCTATCATTTAGGTTGTAGAAACGGATTTTATTTTTTATTTTTTTTTCTGGCAGAAATTATTTAATTCATTTATATTTTAGGATATTTTTATCTGAGGAAGAGTTGTTGGCAATCTTTTGATAAATTTATTGTTGTAAAAAAGTTTTTAAAGTCAAAGTGTTAAATGATTAGTTAGAAGTCCTAGAGTTCAAGTATGGAACGAAGGAAAAAGAGTTGCCGCAAGTTCGCTAATCTATCGTCCAGCCGATGCTCGAGCAGTAAAAATAGAAGTTGAGTCGCCCGCCTGTCGTCTGGACTTCGCTCGAGAGACACACCGTCGCTCATTTATCGCTGAACTGTCGCTCAAGCAACATTGTATCCCAGGAAAACCTAATTCACGTTTTTCAAGATTTTATCTAGTCCATACTACAAAAAACCTTTACACTACATGTATGCACACCACCATTCGAAAAAATAAGAGTTGAACATTGAGAGAAACAAGAAATTAATTCCTCCATATCATTCTTAGAGTTCAACATTCATAGGGAGTTCATCATAGCGTTGAAAAACATCAACCTCACATTAACTAAACTACTTACTTCCATAACATCTATCATAGTTCTGAAATTTAAGGAAGGTGTTCGGAGTTCTAGTTGTTGGAGAACGAGGAGTTCTCACTGATCCACAAGAGATAGACAAATTTAAATTGTCGGGAATTGATGCAGAAGCATGCAATGCATGATGGCTTTGATAATTACTGTCAAGAGGTCAAAAAGTATTAGAGTTAGTCAAGTCTGATAGTATTGTAAGTTGATTCGTTTATAATTGATTTTTACTGGCTTGGGCCCCTGAAGGTTTTACCCAGTTACGGGTTTTCTCCATCAACAATTTTCAAATGTTATTTATTTTTCACTAATTTATTATTTGCAACAATTCAACATAGGATTGTAGTGCATGTGAATTTATCTATATTAATTAATAACTGTGACTTATTGCATTTATTAATCGATAAATTTAAATTCCACATAAACACATATTCACCCTCCCTCTAGATGTTAGTTGAGTCGAACTCTGTTATTTCATTATGGAACTTGGAGATTGTTCAATTGTTTTTGTCTGAATCAGTATTAGTTTGTAAACTAGCAATTCGTCCAAGTTGAGTAAATTTACGTACTTAAATTTGCAGAACTATTCTTACTAGATCAAAGGTGTCACATTGGTTGATTGCACTTTAATATGTAGGTAGGAAATTAAACGTGAGAAAATAAATGGACCTACTTCCATGAAAACACACATCAAAATTTAAATCATATTTGGCCTTGTATTTATTGTAGGACGAGTACAAGAGACATTGAAAGAGATTTTCACATGAGATTTGCAATCGAACATGTGAGGAGTCATATGTTCACCGTCATTGCTAACATTGTTACTTT